GGAACGACTAGCACGTATGTGCAAGGGGAACCTTTACTTTTACTCCTTTTTGTGAACAACTTGTATGCAGCCTCAACTATTAATATGCTTAACAACAGTGCTTAAATAATCTGCTCTATATATGGTAAGAACATATCTTGCATTCAAAGTTGTTCAGGAGAAATATTTTCAGATATGTAATGAAGCTTACTCCAGAATGTAGCTTTATATTTACAAATGCCACCTCTTTATTTCAGGCTCAAGTGATTCTGCTATAAGAAAAAGCAAAAATGATAAAGTTAACTGTTTTAGTCATGGAAATCGGTTATGCAGCAGTATTTTGCCTAATGGAAATCTAACTGTAAGAGATTCTTCAGCTGGCGCACAGTTTGTTCAAATTCAATTGCTTCAGGTAACAATTGGCAATTTAACCTATGGAAAATAATATTCTTTTTCCAAGAACATGTAACTGGGATTTGTGATACAATATGTTGGTGGAGATAGCTAGATAGAGCAAGTATGTTATGATTTGGTGCAGCAAATCCAAATTCTGCTTAGAAAATAATTGCAAAATTTAACTTTCCAATTATTATTTTTTTTATCACATGTCTAAAATTTCCATCTTGATTTTTTTAATCACATGATCACTTTTGCCATCCTTTTGATTCAGAAATAAATATTTGCAATTATTATTTCTTTGAAGAATGCTGGTAATAAATAACAGAGAAATGTAAAAAGATATATTTGGCAGTTGATAAAGTCAAGGAAAGGGGAAAAATGAATTCAAGTGCAATTTTGTGCTCCTCAACTAAGTGGCTATTTCTCTACCTGTGAAAAGAGAGATGTGCTACTAAAAAATTCCCTGGTACACTGCTTCAGCAATAAAGGTACTAGTGGTAGATGGAATGTTAGAACCATGAACCAAGACATATTTCATATCAGATTAGAAATTTCGAGATTCATTATTGACATTATAGGAACTGGCAAAGTTAAATGGGCTGGAATGAGTCACTTTGCATCAGAGAAGCATTTTCAGAGGAGAAAAATCATAGATGAAATTGAGCATTGCGAATACATGGGTGTCAAAGGGTTCAAAGTTCCCAAACAGCAGAATGATACAAACCAAGCTGATCAGTGTCACATTTTTTTTTAATTTATTTTTTAAAAAAATTGATTTATATGCCGCCCTTCTCCGGAGACTCAGGGCGGCTTACAATGCGTTAAGCAATAGCCTTCATACTTTTGTATATTTATGCAAAGTCAGCTTATTGCCCCACAAACTGGGTCCTCAATTTACCTACCTTAGAAAGGATGGAAGGCTGAGTCAATCTTGAGCCTGGCAAGATTCGAACTTACTAATTGCAGACAGCTGGAGTTAAATTACAATGCATTAGTCTGCTGAGCTATCCAGGCTCTTTAATGATCTGAGCCTTCAGTTGTAGAGGAACCTATGAGGACTTGTAGCGTCTTATTAACATGGCATCATATAGATTATAGGAACTGCCTAGAATGCTAAAGTTGAAATTAAGATAATATTTGGAATATGGCTAATCCTTGCTTAACAACTGCTCTGTTTAGTGATGTTTGAAGTTACAAAAACACTGAAAAAGTAACTTTATGAGAGGTCCTTGCACTTATGACCAGCATCCCCCGGACATAAGTTCAAGTTGCTTCACAATCAGCTTCTGAGAAACAGAATCAATGGAGAAGCCAATAGTAAAATCACAAGTCACAGTCACATTATGTTTTGCTTAACAACCGTGTCACTTAGTGATAGTTACTGGTCTTAATTGTGACTATTAAGTGAGGACTACTTGCAATAGAAAAAAAAAATGCTATAGAGGGAGCATTACTTGGAACAGCTCTTATTTTGCCCACATCATCAACAACCCTGCCTTCTGAAAGAAGTTGATGGCAATAGAATTTATTGATTAATATGTGTATTAAGTCAGTGTTAGACAATGATACCAATTGGGTTGCCTAAGTGAAAGTGTGTGGAGCTCCTAATTGAAGTTATTAAAGTGTTTTGTTAAATATATATATATATATATATTGTCTCCTTTGTTGCTAGGATGATTCTCCAGGAGAAGGAGATCTTCCATTCCAGCTCAGTTCTCAATCTTCCTCCTCACACTCTCAGCTGACAGTAGATTTACCAGTTCATATTCTTCAGGTACAAAACGTTTTAGTTTCAAAATTGGATAAAATGCAGCTTCAGCTGATTTTATTATACTAAAATTAACCACTACTTTAAGTTTACAATAAGGTTCCTTCTGTGTTTGGTTGTGTCTTTTAAATTTGGTAGGTTAAGGTAAAGGAGGAGAAAACAATGAAACATGTTGCAGGCTTTTTAGTGAGAGTTTTACCTGTTGAGAAATATGAGTAGTTTATTCCTATAAACAAAGTTAATAGGTTTTGAAGACTGCAGTGTTTGTGTAATCTAAGGAGTGTAGTTAATCCATTGCAAATTGTGAAATTCTGAACCTTTTAACACCTTGCTTTAAACAGGAGCCACACAATTCTGCTGAAGAAGATGCCAATTCTGATAATTCCCAGTTTACAGGAAGCACCATTAATCTACAAGACCTTGAATGATTGTGTTGGAGACAGAACCATGAGAACATTCAGACACTGAAGCATCCTGAGAAATAAGAGTCTGTTCCTGCTTTTAAAGGAAAAAGTGAACAATGGAAGCATGATCACCAGTGCTGGGATACTTGATGGTTATCGTGCAACAAAAATCTTGACCAGTAAATTTTATTTGATAAGGCAATTGGAGATCTTGGTATGTTCTATCTTAGAGTCAGGAAAAGGTACATATGGCAGAATTAGAGTCCTGCATTAGAGTGCAATGGTGATAGCCTACAGTGATTTTAAGAATAATTAAGAATTAATAATAATTCTCAAAATAGTAGATAACAATTAAGCTTAGCACTTTTTTTTCTTGAAATGAATCCCTAATTAAATTTTGGGTTAAAATGAAGGAATAAGCAGGAAGACCAATTTATTTTTACAAACTGACATTTTAAAGAGATAAGAGCATTAAAATAGTACCATACTCAGGGATAGTAAAGGTTGAATTAGTAGAGCAATGTGATTTCTTGCTCTTGCTATCTCTAATTTAGCATTTTACACTGAACTTGAGAAAGCTGCCTAGCACATGTTATTTCTTATCACTTTGGTTATGTTTACAGTAATATAAAACAGTATTGCCAATTTGTACAAAGCTACCTTTATTACATATACCTATCATGATGCATTTTTGGTCAAAAATAGGTTTTGCTGATTTCCGTAGAATTTACTCCCAAATTAATGTTGATATGATGATCTTATTATTTCCATACAGACTATCTGGCTGAAGACAGAGCTGCCAGCTAGTAACAGCATATAAAAGTAACATCTTGACCGAAATGGAAAATAACATCTTTAAATATATATGTTTTTAAAACACCTATCTTTTATTATAGATAATAGAATTAATTCATGCAAACTTTTAAGAAAAATACTAAGCTTTCAGCTCAGCAGAGAAATAAGATGTCAGTGTTTTACAAAAGAATTTAAGTCTGGAACTTAAAACATTTTATTCATGATATGCCACATGGCATTAAAATTATACATATGTATGACTTCGTTAAAAAGTTGTGTGAGCATTGTTGTTTTTTATACAAAGATATCCTACAAAGGAACACTTTTGAATTTTTCTTATTTATTTACAGTTAGGAGAAAATTAAAGGTTAATTGTTTTGAATATATGAGGAGTGAGCAACAAATATCTTTAAATTGACCCTTCTACCATCATATTCGAAATTTGTATTCTTGGAACTCATGCTTAAGTAAAAGTAGCCTTGCCCTATTGCTCTGCAACATCTCTAGTAGCACTGACAAAGAGGAAGACTGATCAACAGTCTTCTCTGGTCTTTAAACTATTACTGTGCATCATGTGGGCATCTATGCTTTGGAAGTCAGGAGCCTTAGGAAATATATTTCTTAGAGCTGTTGAAATCTGAAGGGAGATTCTTGAGCCTGATGTCCCTTTATACTATCTGGAATGGCTTTGGAAATACTATTTTCTACTGTGTTAATTAAACCATGGATAATTTCTGTCTTGGATTATTCACAATAGATTATTCCAGATTAAGAAGGTTTACCCATCAACAGAAATATACTAATTGATGCCTGTGCCTTTTGAACTTCATTTTCAGAAGAATGTAGTTTAGAAGCATTTTATACAGATTACATTAATTCAGAATTTCATTTGTGGATGTTTTTTAGAAAAAAAAATCTTGAGTGGGTATTTTTCATTGACTGTAAAATGTTTACCTGACTATCGTGACCTATTACTATACATTTACATTATCAAAACAAATTGTTTTTATTTCTGATATAAAACCTCTCGGTGAAAAAGTGAAGAAATTGCTTATTTTTAAACATCTTTTCTTTCTATCACCAAGGTTCAGTTTTAAAGAGAAATGGGGGCATTTTGTCCTAAACAATTGTCACCTCAAAAATTCAGTGGAATAGTTCACATACTTACTGTGATAGTGATCCTCTATAAATTGGAATCCAAGCACAACTGTCTATTATAAAGACACAGAGGTAGATTTAGATTAAATAGGTGGACCATAAGAAGCCTGTTTATTCCTCATATATTTTCTTTGAGCAAAAAAAAAACATTTTGTGGTTTCCACAGTAGATGTGGCCTACATTTTCTTCAAAGTATATGTGAGTCAGACCACTCTGTTCTTTTTAATCCAAAGAGGATCCCTAAATTGGTAAGAATGTGAATTGTATCCATTTGTTGTGGTGCTTCTCCTATACGGAGTCTTGCTTATTGAAGAATAAGTAATTGCTTCTGTGGACAGACAAATGTGTTCTTTTATGAAGTTTATATACTCAGTTTTAACTCATTGTAAATTCCTAATGGCTTGAGAGCAAACATTAGATTTATTCTGGCAAAGTCCATTGCTGGCAATGGATATTTATAATCACGGAGTTAAAAGGACTAATAAAATTAATTAATGTCCAGTTCTTCATTTCAACTTTATTTTTGTTATGTCCATACAATCTGCTTAATTACAAAAAAAAAAAAATGAATCTGATATTGAAGGTTGAATTTTTTAAAAAAAGAAATTAGTACTTGTCACTGGTATATCTATTTTCCTAGCTGCAAAACTTTAGATTAGTCTGTGATCTTTGATCACTTTGGTAGATGTTTTCTATCACTAAGTTAATTTACTGACCAAAAAAATTAATAATTTTACAACTATGAAAAGATGTCATCTATATTTTGATCTACTAGATGTCACTATACTTAGGATAGAGTAGCTTTCTCCCCAAATTTACAGAGTATCTGTTGAAACATTTTCTTGTTAGTTTGTCATTTGCTGTATGCTTCATAATGTCTTGCACCTTTTGACTGCTAAGTAAAGTAATAGAGCAGCTCTTCTTTTTCTTTATCGATCATCCCCTGATCCTGATCTTCTTTCTCCTTGAAAGCGGGAGGCTCAGAACGAAAAACTAATCTTCTGCCAGTCTAAAATATGATCAGAGGGACACTTAAGAACAACTCTGCACATTTTATACTGAAATAATCCAAATAAATTCATTTTGCACTAAGCGTGCATCAGTAAAAGCAGGCTCAACTTCTCCTGACCACCTTTTTTTTCCTGAGCAGTTTTATTTCTTCCTTCCACAAAGAAGTTTCTAACTATGCTTCTTCCCTTCTGTCATTATTTCATGCAATATGAGTATAATAGAAAAAAACATTGCTTCTTCCAGCAAGGAATATTCAATACTTACTAAAAATTGGCTGAATTACTATTCCAATTTTTATTTTCTTCCATTCAGGCATCTTTGTTTTAAGATTGTTCCCATTTATAGGATTGGTTTTCTTTTAGTCCATTGTGGTCAATCCCAATGATTCAGAACATGAACAACTTCCTCAACTCAATATTGCCCCCACCAATCTGGGTCTTCATTTTACTGATGAAGGATGGAAGGCTGAGGGAACCTTGAGCTAGTCAGGATCGAACTCTTGGTGGTAAGCAGAGTTCGCCTGCAATACTGCAGTCTAACTACTGCACCACTAAAGCTCTTATTATAAGTTGTCATAGTAATAGTTATCGTTACTATTTACTATTTATATGTGATAGTAAAGTCTAGAAAGGAGAAAGCCTGAGCTAGGTTTTCATTTTATAGCAAGAAATACCACTAACCAAAAATTCCTTTGGACTTGCAAGGTATAGAAAAAGGCACAAATGTAGATACTGAATCCAGTCAGACTTTATTCTTGTTCATGTTTAGACATGAGGGATTCTTGGTGTTTTCTGAGCTTCCTTGTTTTCTTGGAGATGTTTCATTACCCAAACTAGGTAATATCATCAGTGCTAGTGACGATGTTACCTAGTTTGGGTAATGAAACATCTGCAAGAAAACAAGCAAGCTCAGAGAGCACCAAGGACCCCACATTTCAACTTTGAGCTACAAATATCCTCCTTTATTGGTACTTCATGTATAGACAGTTTGGAACTAGATTTACAAAAGGCTTCGGGTGGAAGAATTGATAAAACAGTCTGAGCTACTAAAATCACAAAAGGATGCAACAGCAGGTGCTCAGGAGATAAACATACCTTCTTCTTAACATCAGCTTGTGCTCTTGCCAGGGCCCGCTGCAGCCTCTCTTCCTGCAATTGTCTCTGCTGCCTGATCTTTTCTTCTCTCATCCTGGCCAAATAAAAGAGCAGGTTAAAAGTTACAGTTGCAAGTCACATAAACCCAAAATTGTCTTGGAGAATTCTACTGGTTTGTGTCATATAGAGAGCATTGCATCCACAAAGAACTTTGCTCTTCACATAACGCTACGTTGAAAGCCTCTTCTAGGATAAAAAACTGGCTCCAAAGGGATTAAATGCTATCTGATTCATTGTCTCATCTGATTCTGGGATTGGTATTGTATATTGACAAAATATCTGTAGTATGTACTCTGCAAAATGGACCTTTTCTGACACTTCATTTTATTACTTCTGTCAGAAGCTTTATTGAAAGCGCTGGTGCAGTTCAAACTCAGTTGCTGTGTCCTTACTAAACCTATATGATTGACAAAAAGCAAACATCCAGATGATACTTATAAGGCCAGCTATTTCTATGCATGTAATGTAAGAACACAAGATTCATCCGTGTCATACTATTACAAGTTCATTTGATAGCAATAGTAATAGCACTTAGACTTATACAGTTGCAAGAAAAAGTATGTGAACCCCTTGGAATTACGTGGAGTTTTGCATGAATTGGTCATAAAATGTGCTCTGAACTTCATCTAAGTCACAACAATAGAAAAACACAGTCTGCTTAAAATAATAGTACACAAACATTAGATGTTGCCATGGTTTAATTGAACATAACATGTAAACATTCACAGTGCAGGGAGGAAAAAGTATGTGAACCTTTGAACTTAATAACTGGTTGACCCTCCTTTAGCAGCAATAACCTCAACCAAACGTTTCCTGTAGTTGCAGATCAGACCTGCACAACGATCTGGAGTAATTTTGGACCACTCCTCTTCACAAAACTGTTTCAGTGTAGCAATATTCTTGGGATGTCTGGTGTGAATCGCTCTCTTAAGGTCATGACACAGCATTTCAATCGGGTTGAGGTCAGGACTCTGACTGGGCCACTCCAGAAGGCGTATTCTGTGCTGTTGAAGCCATTTTTTTGTTGAATTACTTGTATGCTATGTCCTGTTGCATCACCCATCCTCTGCGGAGCTTCAGTTGGCGGACAGATGGTTGTATGTTTTCCTGCAAAATGTCTTGATAAATTCTGGAATTCATTTTCCCATCAATGACAACAATCCGTCCAGGCCCTGAGACAGCAAAGCAGCCCCAAACCATGATGCTCCGCCATGTTTTACAGTGGGGATGAGGTTTTGATGTTGGTGTGCTGTGCCTTTTTTTCTTCACACATAGTGTTGTGTGTTCTTCCCAAACAACTCAATTTTGGTTTCATCTGTCCACAGTATATTTCGCCAGTAGTGCTGTGGAACATCCAGGTGCTCTTTTGCAAACTTCAAACGTGCTGCAATATTTTTTTTGGACAGCAACGGCTTCCTCCGTGGTGTCCTCCCATGTACTCCATTCTTGTTTAATGTTTTCCTTATTGTAGATGTGTCAACAAAAATGTTAGCATGTGCCAGAGATTTCTGTAGGTCTTTAGCTGACACTCTAGGATTCTTCTTTACCTCATGAAGCATTCTGCGCTGTGCTCTTGCAGTCATTTTTACAGGACGACCATGCCTAGGGAGAGTAGCAACAGTGCTAAACTTTCTCCATTTGTAGACTGTCTGTCTTACCGTGGACACATGAACATCAAGGCTTTTGGAGATACTTTTGTAATCCTTTCCAGCTTCATGCAAGTCAACAATTCTTGATCGTAGGTCTTCTGAGAGCTCTTTTCTGTGAGGCATGGTTCACATCAGACAGTGCTTCTTGAAACCAGTAAACCCAAAACAGGTGTGTGTTATTAAAGGGCAGGACAGCTGTCAGCAACACATCCAATATCATCACACTGATTGGAGTCAAGGTTGGCTCACTCCTGGCTCCAATTAGCTCTTGGAGAAGTCCTTAGGCTAGGGGCTCACATACCTTTTCCTCCCTGCACTGTGAATGTTTCCATGTTATGTTCAATTAAACCATGGCAACATCTAATGTTTGTGTAGTAGTATTTTAAGCAGACTGTGTTTTTCTATTGTTATGACTTAATGAAGTTCAGAGCACATTTTATGACCAATTCATGCAAAACTCCACGTAATCCCAAGGGATTCACATACTTTTTCTTGCAACTGTATACTGCTTCATAGTGCTTTAAAGCCCTCTTTCAGTGGTTTATGGAGTCAGTACGGTATATTGCCCCCAACCATCCGGGTCCTCATTTTACTGACCTCGGAAGGATGGAAGGTTGAATCAACCTTGAGCTGTTCAGAATCAAACTCCTGAAGTGAACAATGAGTTAGCCTGCAGGACTGCATTCTAACCATTGCCCCACCACGGCTCTTTGATGCTCTTACCATGCTTACAAAGCAGTTTTGATGGCAACAAAAATCATAACATCGATAAGATTAACTAGAAGTTGCACAGAAGAAGGTGGAGGAGGAATGGTATCATTCTGTTGAAGGCATCATATTGGATCCAACTCTGAATAGGGTTTTTATCTTACCTCATCCTTCTCTCTTTCTCTTTGGCTTTCTCAGCTTGTTCTATCTTTCCTGGAGGCACCCTCTCAAGGCATTCTAGCAAGTCATCTAATTGATGTTCTATAACAGTAAGCATCTGCAAGGTTCCCAGGTTTGCCTCATTCTCTCCAATGCAGCGACGATAGACTTCCAACACCTTTCGATACAAACTCACCAACATTTTGTCCTGCAAATTAAGGACCAATAATGAACTTTCAGGGCTCAGAAATCTAGATATTGGGACTCTAACATCAGCTTTCAGTTATATTAATCTCAAAAGTCCTCCCATTTGAACTGTCTTTAAGAAACCTAGCTGTGACATGGGTTCTTGATAGCAGGAGAGAACCAAAAAATTTACAGAAAGAATTTGAACCTCTCCAGATGGGGAGAGCTACAGAAGGTAAAGCATTGCGAAGCATTGCATGTACATGCACACGCAAATGCTTAGATGAGCTCAGATCTGATCTCAGTTTTCTGCTTCAGCGAGGTTGTGACTTCAACAGCATGCCACCTAAATCTTCACCATGTCTCTTTTTTACCTTTTCTTGGGATCTGGGTGAAGAATGTCAGGGAAATACCATGAGATGGAGATTTCCAGTATCAGTTTACCCTGTACAAGATCACAGCAGTTTCTGGCAACAGAATAGAGAATCCAAATTATCTTGTCGGCTGTGGAGCTTGGTCTTATAATATTTCCCCTTGGGGGGGAAAAGTAGCCATTTCCTATTTGCACCATTCTGTGGCATGGCACGTAACTTCTGATCTTCAGGTTCAAGCTTTTATCAATTGACTTGATGTTATACATACCTGAACGTCAGCTTTGTACTCCCCAAAAGAAAAGACGCGTGCTTTAAGTTCCAGGTCTGCTGCTGTCTCCTCCTCTTTAACAATGTTGGCTTGCAGAGTGATAGCAAGCATTTTCAGTTGTTCTATTTCACGATCCCTAATCCAGAAAAAAATGAAGTCATTTTTTGGAAGAATTTGACATGAGTAATTTTATACTTCAATTACTTTAATTACTTGGAAAGATGACCTAATTCAATAGCTGCTCAATTCTTACTCGGTTAAACCAGTTTTTCAAGCATTTTTTTTGGAGCTGTAAGTGAGCAGCTTTCCACTGGCAAGATCATCTTTTTTCAACTCCCAGGTCCTGAATTTTCCCAGCCCCTTTATACAGGTAGTCCTCGAGTTAGGAATGTAATGGAACCTGCCCATTCCATTTGTAACCTGAAGATTTGTGGGAATGAATCTCAAACCTTGAACAGGATCACTCCTTCCTTTCGCCCATGTATTTGCTAATGGAATGCGAGGCTTAATAAGTGCACATGAGGTATTTCAGGGTGGGGAAGGCCATGGGGGAGCCTACTGATGGAAAAGGCCACCTGTCTAAGACCACCCAAGGCATCCCCGATCCAATGAAATATCTCATTGCTTTCCCTTCCATCCATTGTGCCGTGCCAGATCACTTACTGTGAGAAAATCTAGCAAGCTGTATCCTCTCCAACCTCTCAGTCGCATGCATCCCTCTGCAGTTTCGTTTAGGCTCACCTGGCATGTTGCAGACCGAAATGGAGCTCTGGAAGGGCATCCCTACAGAGCTCCATTTTGGCCTGCAACATGCCGAGTGAGGCCCAAACAGAGCATTGGAAGGGTGGATCCGCACCTCCGCACCTCCCATTTTGGCCGGCAATGTGCTGGGTGAGGCCTGCGCAGGCCTAAACGGAGCATCCGAGAGGCAGGCCCGCTCCTCTCAACCTCCATTTTGGCCAGCAAAGTGCAGGATGAATGTTGCAGAGCCTCTGTGGTTGTTCGTAAGGGCAACCAACTGCTGTGGTACTGTAAGATTCATAGTTTCGGGACTTGTTTGTAAATGCTAGGGGCCACTTATCTCGTAACTTCAAACATTTGCTAAGGGAGCGCTTGTAACCTAGGGATTACCTGTACTATTGGCAAAGTTTTGTGATGTTTTGCCAGCATTCCTCCATTTGCTCCATGTGATGAGCTTTTTGTACTTTCTCTTGACACAAATGCTGGTTGCCTCCATGAGGGAACTGGGTACAAGAGTGGAATAGTAGCTGCAGGATATTACTACTGATATAAAATGTCTAGAAGTTGGTTGGTGTCCTTTTCAGGAGGGAGCACAATGTCTTTGAGGTTGCGAACCAGTTAACACTTGGGAAAAAAATCTGGGTAAACTTAATCTGATCATTGTCTTCCCTACTATTCATTTATTAGATTTTTTATCCCGCTTTTATTATTTTATAAGTACCTTAAGGCAGCAAACATACCTAATGCTCCTTCTCCTATTTTCCTCACAACCACTCCTTAAAATGAGTTGGGCTGAGAGAGAGTGGCTGTCCCAAGGTCACCCAGTTGGGTTTCATGTCTAAGGCAGAACTAGAACTTACAGTCTCCTGGTTTCTAGGCCAGCACCTCAACCACCACACCAAACTGGCTCTCTATGCTAAGATGCTGTGTACTAATATTTAAATCATAATTGCTGCTAACAATGTTTTATCGTCTACATTAGCCTGTGCCTTTTAACTAAAGCTGCTACTCTTAACATTTGGGGCAATCTGAACTATTTAAAATATTTTAGCTTATGGAAACATGCAAGACTGTATATGTATTCAGTGCAGCAGCTGGCAGAAATAAATGAATGAAGGCTGGTGTGTCTCCTGATCCTTCACTCTCAAAAGTGGAATGGAAGAAAGTGTTTGCAAACCTTACAAATGCCTCTTCCATTTTTGTTTCCCACAATAGATGCTAATATGTCTGGGGCTATAGAAGATGTAGGGTAGAACGTTCTTTAACAGTAGGGCAGAAAAACAATACTGTGTTGTTGGAGGGTACAGAAATAATGACTGAGTTGCTCATGTTTGGAAAGAAACAGAGAACATCCTTGTGTTGCAAGGGATTAGTATGGCCAATCATTTGCAACTGCTTACATTTTATTGCGTGTGGTTTCCAAAGTGTGTCGGAGCTCATCCAAGGTTTCCTCTGTCTCCTGAGAATTCTGAATCAGAGACAAGTTCTGTTCTTCCAGCTCTGTGAAAAGCTGCAGCAGCTGGTGTGGATCTGTAAAGAATAATTCAGGTACCTGCCAAGGAAAGTATTAACATGAAGGAGTTCCCATATTGTTAATCAAAGGTACAGATTGAGAGAAAAAGCAATCTTTGTTTATCCTGGATAAGCTTTGATAATCATTTCTCCACAGCACTGATAAAAAAATTAAATAATAGCTAATCTTAGTGGCAAGAAAATGGTGAAAGAGAGAAAAACAATTATCTATTTCAACCATGAGATAGGCAGCAGATAAATTTAATAAAAAAGTAAATAAATAAAATATCTACTATCTCTATTTAGCTATCTATCTAGTTATCATCTATCTCTGTCTATCATCTATACCTTGGTCAGTGGTGGGATTCAAATTTTTTTACTACTGGTTCTGTGGGCGTGGCTTGGTGGGCTTTGCTTGGTGGGCGTGGCAGGGGAAGGATACTGTAAAATCTCCATTCCCATCCAACCCCAGGGAAAGGATACTATAAAATCTCCATTCCCTCCCCATTCCAGGGGAAAGTTACTGCAAAATCCCCATTTCCTCCCGATCAGCTGGGACTCAGGAGGCAGAGAATAGATGGGGGCAGGACCAGTCAGAGGTGGTATTTACTGGTTCTCCAAACTACTCAAAATTTCTGCTACTGGTTCTCCAGAACTGGTCAGAACCTGCTGAATACCACCTCTGATCTTGGTGCTGTACTTCAATGAATACACCCAATTCAGCTAATGAAGTATAGGAGTTACATGTTAGACCGGGCCTGTGAAAATCCATTTCACGTCGCTATTTAATGACAGAGTTCCCTGAGCTACTATTTCTTCTTTCAAACTACTTCAGTAGATTATTGAGTAAATAAGGAAAGATTAAATAAGGAAAGATCCCATCTGCATGTGATCACCTTGAGCAGGATGGGCAACTCATAATCTGTATAGAGCCTAACCACATTTTCCACAGTGTCAGGATTGTGCCATCAAAATTCAAGATGAAAATTGTAATTTTTAATGGTGCGATTTTCCTCCATTGCTTAGTTTAAATGTTTCAGTACTTTTTAAGCTACTAAAATTTTTCAATACTATTTCATCTTAAGAATTCCAACTTAAAAATGTACAATTAATTGCTGAGTTCCATTAGTTCTCCAGTTATATGCTAAAAACATTGAATTACTGACCTCATCATCATCTTCATCAGATAATTCTGGACTAAATTTTTCTTCTGATGGGGCAATCTGTACACTCCTGTAGAGGTTATTCTTGAGTCAGTTGTTTACAGGGCATTATAATGCAATATTTATTTAATCATTTATCTTGCCGATCCCTCAACCTGCATTTTGAACTGGAATTGGAAATGGATTACAAGCAACTATTTTCCACTTTGTGGAAAGTTGAAAGAGATGACAGGCTATCCATAGATGAAAAATATTAAACTGATTCAATCATTTATCCTCTTTCTATGAAACTCTGGGAATTGTAGTTTTTTTCCAGAAAATCACACACTTTTCTTATAGATTATTTTGAAGATGCCCTGATGACTATCTAGATGCAATGAGACAATGTTCTTGGCCATGTTATAGCAGCAATAGCACTTAGACTTATATACTGCTTTACAGCCCTCTCTAAGTGCTTTACAGAGTCAGCATATTGCCCCCGACAATTTGGGTCCTCATTTTATCCACCTCAGAAGGATGAAAGGCTGAGTCAACCTTGAGCCTGGTGAGATTCAAACTGCCAAATTGTAGGCAGCCAGCAGGCGGTTGAAGTAGCCCTCAGTACTGCACTCTAACCACTGAGCTATCACGGCTCATGAAAGTAGTTTGCCATTACTTTCCTTTGGGAATCCCCCCCCCCGTTTTCCTATCTAGCCAACAAGTTGAATATTCTCTGATGGTCTGTTACCCAAATGTTAACCAGATTTACTACTCCTTAGCTTTTACAAGATTTGCTACTCCTGTTTCCTTTCAGTTAATGGTTGGACTACCTTCTCTCCTGCATACTTCAATTTTTCCCCCTGTAAGTGTGACAACATTTCATGGCAAATTTTCAAAATGGGAATATAGAGGGAAAAAAAGGGAAGTCCCATTAGAAAAGCAGAGAGCTATTTGTACAACAATGGATACATAATTCTGAAGAGTGGAAGTGGAAAAAAAGCATTGAAGATGCAGTCAGTTAGAAATTAATGTAAACTGACATCATCACGGAGTGTGGTGGCTCACGAGGTTAGAACGCTGGGCTGACAATCGGCACGCCTGCATTCAGGACTCACTGCTCCTGCAGCGAGGATGAGCTCCTGTCACTCTCTCCAGCTCCTGCCAACCCAGCAATTTGAAAGTGGGCAACTGCAAGTAGATTAATGGGTACCACTTCAGTGGGCAACTTCACAGGGACCTTAAAGGAGTCCTCAACTTGCATCTCCCAGGCAACGGTGATGTCACCAGCAAATTCTTTCACCGTTTATATCATGTAAATTGGCAACATCCAATAGTGACCAAAATTGTGGAAACCTTTTGGGAAAAGTGTATTTTCTAAAACTAGCTAATAACACCACTTTTCTTTTAGTAGTACCATAAAATTATGTATCAATGGAAAGATAATTTAATCAAGAATGTAATGCAATAACTTTTATGAATATTTGCTATTAGAATAGCAGTTACAGTATAAAGAAGAAAAGTGAAACACTTAGAAAAAATGAGATATACAAAAATTATCACCATAGAAAAAATGAGATATACAAAAATTATCACCATGTCAGTTAATAGCTGGGTAACCTTTAGCATGAATTATGGCCTTACGTCTTCCCATGGAGTGAACCAAGTCTTTTAGTTCTGCAGTTGTTATATGTGAAACCAAAATTGAATGATTGCTACTATTAACTGGGTTTTATTGCTGGGTCACTTCTGACTAACAAATTTCTTTAGTCGGCTCCATAGATTTTCAATTGGGTTAATAAGGTCTGGCCTATTCCCAGGCCATTCCAGCAGTGGAATATGATTATCTTGAAACTCCCCCCCCCCAAAAAAGTGATGTTATTAGCCATCAAACCTCAAAAATACACTTTCCCCACAATTTTGGCCATTACTGTATACAAAGTTTGACTTGCATCTATATGTAATGCTCCACACATCCTATATCTTTGCATTTATTCTCATTTGAGAGGCCAAAATAAAGGCATAGTTTGAAAGCTGTCCTACAGTAAGGTAGTATACTATGATATTTTCCTATGAGATCCAATACCCAATTTTGGTGACTTTGATTCCTCTCTGTCTCTCTTACTTCGAACTCACTTCCCTAACATACTTACGGCTTTTTGCTTTGTTGAGACTTTATAGTCTGCCTAGAAGATACTCGGCTTAATTTGAAAGATTCCTTTCTAGACAAAATTTGGCTTGGCGTTCTAGAAGTGGGAGGTTCTACGATGGTCATTTCAATACTAGAACGTTTTGCTATGCTTGTTGTTCGACGTCGGCCCTTGTCTTGAAGTTCTTGAACATCCTTCCCTGAACCTGAATACAGAAAAACCCATTAATTAATTGTGTCATCCCCATTTGAGTGTTACTGTTTAGACAGAAAAAGCCATGACAGAAAGAGGGATGGGTACAATTGTCAGTTCATTTTAATGGCTAGTTTGATTCTACATCAGTTTATGAATGCAGCCGAAAGAAAAGAGAACACCCACCTCTCTATCTACATCTCTGTGAAGATGTCCTCTGAAATATATTTTTTTAAGGTAAATCTGTGATGGAATGTAGTAAGGAGGTAGGTTTCCAGGAGGGAGGGAGCGCATTCCAGAGGAGTAAGAGGCAACTCAGCTCAGATATTATGTGTGAGAGAAAGAGGGTCAACCAGTGGTGGGTTCCTCCCAGTTTGGCCCGGTTTCGCCGAGCCGGTAGCGGTGACAATATGACATCACCGAACCGGTTCTGCCCCCCCTCCCGCCCACCTCCACACACCCCACGTTATTCTTACCTTTTATTTGGCCCCACCCCCAATCTATTGCTGCCTCCTGAGTCCCAGCTGATGGCTAGAGGGGAAAAAATTGTTTAAACTCTTGCCATGGGGCTTCAAAGGGCTGCCCTACAGCTGATCAGTGTTAAAAGAAAACAAATGAGTAGACCGGTCCCTGCAAAAATACATGAGTAGATCAGTGCCTGCAAAAATACATGAGTAGATCAGTGCGTGCAAAAATACATGAGTAGACCAGTGCCTGCAAAAATACATGAGTAGATCAGTGCCTGCAAAAATAAATGGCATCGGTATAGCTCTGCAAGCAGTTAAAAGCCTGGTAGACCAGTACCTCTGCTAAATCCTAAAGAATTGTCACATGACCATCAAGCCACACCCACAAACTAAGCCACACCCACAGAACCGGTAGTAAAAAAATTTAGAACCCACCCCTGGAGTCAACTCAAGACTTAAATTTTATAGTACACATGTTTTAGTATGGCTGTGCACTACCCTGAGTCCCTCGGGAGAAGGGCGGTATAAAAATGTAAATAAATAAATAATAAACAAACAAACAAACAAACAAACAAATAAATAAGACAGCCCCTCCCTAATAGTTCAGAGTATATTATAGGTACAAATAGTACACTGCTTAGTATGATACGATTTTATGAAGCAATAAAGAACTCAGCTTGACACATGTCATTCTTGGCTTTGGGGCTGGCAAAATACCTTAATACTATGTGTTTTTGTGAATATTTGGGTTGTTACCTAAGATATGAAAAGTATGAATTTTGTCATGAGTCCATGCTCCAGATATAATTTTTTAACATTATTAATATTTGTTAAAAACAATTGAAGAACCAAATAACTACATACAATAAACAAATAGAAAAAGCCATAGGGCATGAAGAAAAGAAATTAGTAATAAATAAAGGATTTACAAGTATAACATTTGAAAATCATTATGTTTTTGATTAATTAAAATTTATAGAACTAGGTTTATTGCATCATTTCAAGAAATAAGAGTTGCTTGATAGTGAAATGGGTGGCATATAAATTTAAGAAATAAATAATTAAATAATTAAAACTTTCTATAAAATGCTAATCATTAGTATTAATATTGATATCACCACTCTTTTTCATTCTTCCAAAAATAAATGCATATAATCAAGGGAAGGGCCTTTTTTCTGTTAATGCCAATGAATATGTACACAGATCTAGTACTGAGAAAGAAAAATCATATAATGAAAATCTGTGTCGGTCATACATTTTCCTCAGTGTTGCTCATTGTTTTTGACAGTAAGCAACTGCAGAATAAACTTATCTTCCCTGACACTGAAGACTGAAAAAGACCAAAGTCTTGTAAGTTATAAGAGTCTCATTATTTACCCTTTAAATATAAGCAAATACAAGGAAAATAGAAATTAGAGCAGGGGTTTCAAACTCGCAGCCCTTGTGCTGGGATGCATCATGCGCTGGCCACACGCACACCCGGTTTAGCGAAGGGTAAAAAAGTCACGATATGTCACGTGATGATGCTGTTACAACGTGGGCTTGACACCCCTGAATTAGAGCAATATACCGGTAAGTAATAATTAATAAAATAAACATGATGAGAAATCCTGTATTGGAAGTATTTTAAATACTGTAATGATAGCATTTTGCTCATGTTCTCACCTCATGAGAGGTTCAGGAGTCTTTTACTATTTCCCATATTATACCTATGTCTGACACAATAAGACATATTTTACCATAACTTGGTATACAGCATCCTGTCAAGGTTAAAACTGTCCTAAACAGTTTTATCAAGCTAAGACACTTCTGGACTGAACACTTGTGACTAAACAAAGGCAGACAGTAACAGTCACAAGTGCCTACATCAAACACATTAAGCACAGATACTCATTAGCTGTTAGATCATAATGAGATATAAAAAAATAGGTACATTGATTTTCCTATGTTCTTTGGCAAATGAGTTTATTCATCACCTGGAAAAACTGCATAGAAAAATGATAGTAGTATGATGTAAACGACCAGTAATTTTCTTCTCTTGGTCTGAGGGTCAATTCACAGAATAAATGGATAAGCCAATCATGTTAAAAAACACATATTCATACTGTAATTTTGCAGGATGGACAAAAGTCACCTCAAAATTGGGTTGTTTTGTTTCATCCATATGGATATATGTGCATGTGAAGCAAAATGCTTTCAGAAGGAGAAGGAAAGAAAATACTCAAGAGTATCATTTGAGTATTGTTGTGAAATACCTTAAGAAAGCTTAAGAAATTTAAATTGTTTGCAGTGGTAAAAAGTTGGCTCAAATGCTTCCATTTTTTTAAAAAAATGTAAAAATAACTCTATATTGATTTTGCCTCACAATGGACTCCACAGCCTGTTTAAACAATATAAAAGAAAGAAGAAACATAAAAATGGGATAACATGAATGTATGGATTATAATTTGAACAATGATAGCTGAATGGAAGCACCTTTAATACCAATTAATTTGACAAGATAGTCGAATTTACCTGTTTAATGTGGAAGTTCTCTATACTATTTTTATTTTCTGTAATTATATCAAACCGCTTTGCTTCTGGTTGGTTTCTTCTGAAGATGGATAAGGTTCAGCAACAGCCTCTGAAGATCTATTGTTATTTCTATGCAGATCTGAGAATCACACACAGTTTTGGGATTATGGAAGTGCTTACCTTTTGACAGTCCTGATTTATCCTCTTTACTATCAGAATTGAGGTTATTTGCCTTTCCTTTCATCCGCCGTCTTTCATGATCTTCCCACCAATCTTTGGGAGATAGTTGGTAGAGGAAATCTTTGAACACCACATATTCCTGCAAAGTGTCCTCAAATCGCGCTATCTCACTGAAGAAAAGAAACAGTCATTGCATCAAGAGCAAATGGAGATTACTCTGCGGTACTTCCAAAGTACACTGTACATATTCCCAGAGAAAATAAATTGTTAGCCATAAATTCTTTAGACCTAAAGAATGGTGGATAAGACACCAGGAGACAGTAAGAGTTCTGGGAAGTGAAACTGCAAGAAGGTAACATCTAAAATATATGGATGGATGGATGGATGGATGGATGGATGGATGGATATTCCTAAAATATCCCTTAATTTTACTCTGAATGCTTTTGGTAGAAGATAAACAATACTTTTATATTGCCTGAAGTTAAGATATCTTCATAAAAAGACATCTTTTTATGGCATACTGATGTGTGATTGTCTTTGTGGGTTGGTCATGAGAAGAATCTGGTCTATCAAGAGTCCCATCTCTTTCCTGATGCCATTTACTTTATGGCCCCATGCTGCTACCATAATGCTAATTCCTCTGACGGGACTCCATTGACTCTCTTTTCTTCTGCCTTCAAAGAAGGGATTCAGACAAGGCTAAATGAAATTTGTCCCAGCAGGTGGCAGCATCTAGCTGACCTTGCCAAGTCATCAAGTTCAGACTTGTTAAGTGCTTAGATGGCTATCTAAAATGTATTTCTTAGATGGCTATCATTAAATCCCAGAGCAATAGTAAAAAAAAAAAAAATCCACTCTGGAAAACATAATAGAAAACTAGTTTCACATTCTTGCCAAGAAGACAACATTCTTGTATCTATGTAATTCCCCAAGGTCAAACTTAATTCAAGGAAGTCCGAATCTTTTAAATGAAATTTTAATTGATTTTAAAAAATTAATTTTATTAAATATACAATTTTAAAACATTAGACTTGGTGCGACTTGTTTGGTACATATTTTTCTAGCACTTTTTCTTTCATGTATATTACAATATAATATCATGCATATTCCATATATACTTTTTGTACATTCAATCACACTTCAATTACATACATATTCCCTTCATACCTATTCAAATCCAATTTATTCCTATCTAATATTTCTTAATTTAATTTTATTTATTTTTCTCCCCTTTCCTTCACCCTGTTTCTAATTCTCTATCCCTTTCCTCCTTTTCTCTAGCCATTTATAAAATGTATTCCAGGTTACATAGAATTCCGATTCATTTTTATCTTTGAGCTCCATTGTTAACCTATCCACTTCTGCACAGGTCAATATTTTGTTAATTATTTCTACCTCCTATGGGTTCTCTCTGCATTTCCAATTTTGTGCGAATATCAAATCTCGCTGCCATTAGTATGTGTACCATAAGATATATTTCTTCTTTTTTGTAATTATCCCTTACTATTCCCAGAAGGAAGAGTTCTGTCATCATATCTATCGTCTTGTTTAACATCACTTCTAGCCACTGTTTTATTTGGCACCAGTAGTCCTTGGCTTTCAGGCACCCCCACCATATATGATAATAGGTGCCTAATGTTGCTTTACATTTCCAGCATTTCGGTGAGCAATTTTTGCACATCTTGGCCAGCCTTGTGTGTGTGTGTGTGGGGGGGGGGGGTAATGCCACCTGTAAAACATCTTGTATTGATTTTCTTTATATGCAATGGCTAGGGTAAGCTTTCTATTCCTCTCTCATAGTTTTTGCCAGCTATCTAGATCTATGCCATAGCCAAAATTCTTACTCCAGGTGAGCATGGTGTCTTTCACTTGCTCTTCTATCATGTCGTAATCCAGTAAATATTTATATAATTTCCTAATCATCTTCACATCTGCCCCTTGTAAGATTTCATCCAATTCTATCGGTTCGGTTCTTATGCCCCATTCATTTTTATTTCTCACGTATTGGGATGGAATCTGAAGATATGCCCACCATTCTAGTTTTATCCCTTCTTCTTGTAAATCCTGTCTAGACCTCAGTTCTCCCTTTTCATTCAATATGTCTTTATATGTAATCACTCTTCCTAATTTCATGAAATTTGGATGTACAAACATCTCCAGAGTCGACAGCCAATTGGGAATTTCTATATAATTTTGTTGCTTAGTTTTAATCCAAACGTCCAATAGAGCTCTTCTGATGAGGTGTTTCTGGAAGTATTGGTGTGTTTTATGCTTCCCGTCCCAGAGGATTGCGTGCCACCCAGTTTGCATATCATGTCCTTCCAGTGCTAGCAGCCTCCTGTTTTTTAAATTAATCCACTCCCTGATCCACGTGAGTGCTGCTGCCTGATAGTATTTTTCTCAGTCAGGGAGTCCAAATCCACCTCTTTCTTTCGAGTCTTGCAATAATTTCAATTTAATTCTGGGTTTTTTCCTTGCCAAATATATTTAGTTATTATTTTATTTAATTTTTTTTTTAAATCCTTTTTCAATCCTATTGGTATTTGAAATAGAAAGAGTATCTTTGGCAATATAGTCATTCTGACTGTCCATAAAGGAAAGTTGCAGGTTTTTCCACCTATCCAAATCTACCTTTATTTGATCCACTAATTTATTGTAATTGTCCTCCTTTAGTGTAGCACATCTTGACGTCAAATAGATACCTAGGTATCTCACTTTCTTTACTGTCTGTATTTTAATTTTCTCAGCCAATTCTTTTTCTTGCATTTTACTCATATTCTTGACTAAAATTTTGGTTTTTTCCTTGTTCACCCTCAAACCTGCAACTTCCCCATATTCGCCCAATACTTCCATTAACCTCTCACCCGATTGTAAAGGGTCTTCTAGAATGAACACAAGGTCATCAGCGAAAGCTTGCACCTTGAAGATTTCCTTTTTTTATTTCCAGACCTTTTATTTGTTTGTCTTTTCGGATAATAATTACCAGACAGTAAATCTTGGAGCAAAAATTTTTGCTTTATTTTAAAATAATTCCTGAAACAAGTCTAATTCATTTTTTCTAATATTGAATTAGAAAAACAATAGCAATTTTCATTTTTAATTTTAATACATTCCAAAGTATTTATTTGCATCTTCTCAAATGTTTCATAGGCAGGATCAATGGAAATAACAACAGTGATTGTTATCTTTGGGGACATAATATTTTTTAGCAATCTATGGATTTAAAATTCATTGGAGAGAGACACAAATGGAAACCTATAAAATCTTGTTACCCATAATTCAGGCATATAATTAATGTTTATCAAGCATAAACATTTAGCATGTCAAAAAGATCTATAGAACTAGTGTACTTTTAACTGTATTGGGACATCCAGGAAAGGGAAACAGGGAGGAAGGAAAATATACCCTGGATTATATCTTCTGTAACTGCTACCTTTGGATGTTCATCATTTGCGCTGTCAATTCTCGGATCTCAATTATTTTCTCCAGTTTTGCTTTGGTTTCTTTTTCAGCACTAAGAAAGAAGAAATAAAGACAGAAATTACTTGCAGAGCATGACTGGAGATAAGTGATATCAGAATTAAGGGAGATCTCAAAGTTTTAGGCCACCATGAACAGTCAGAGGCAATGGTTAGGGGAGATATAAATTTCTTCCTGGTGGTGTTCCATTTCTCTCCTTCCCCCAGTCTACTCATCTATTGATTGAGAATTTGGCTGAAGAATATGTAGAATGTAATGATTCTCAGTCAAGTTGGTTTGACACATTAGATGACACAAGAATGGGCTGACCCTCTTTTTCATGGTCAACTGTGGTTGGATCATATAACAATAGCACTTAGACTCATATAGTGCTCCATAGTGCTTTACTGCAACTTTCATCTACCTGTGAATTTCTTTTGGACCTTTTAATTGACTTCTGTCTGGTAAATATTCTCTTTAAGGTGGGGGGTGGACAGCCTATATGTTAGTTGGAGAACAGAGAAGGCAGCTCTCCTAAACTGTCAACATAGATTCAATTCTAGAACTTCAATATGAGCTGTTTCTTTTTTTTTTTAATAGAAAAAGTTCTGTTAGTCTGGGTGGGAAGTGGAAGACATCTAGCAAACCAGCTTCAGGAAATTTAGCTGCTTACTTAGCAGCTTTGTAACTCTTTAAAAATATCAGACGGTGGGTTTTCTTGTGTTTCTTAAACAAGAAGAAAGAATAGTATAGAAATAAATTAACTCATGAATTATTGGGCATCTGAATCCCAGTCGAAAAGATTGGACAAATAAATCAAGTCTCCATTTTGAATTCCATGGAGAATTTCATTAACTCTGAATGGGTTTCTTAAAGCAGTAGTGTTTTTTTTTTCTTCGGGCCTAGGCTGAAGTTTGAGTAGCCTTTGAATTCCTTTAAGGGGTAGCTGAGAGATGCTGCACTTGATGAGATCTGAATCACAAGGCTCTGCAGGAGTCAAGGTGAATAACTCTGAGCCATGATGCAAACCACCCAACATGCATACCTGTATTAGATATTGGGATTAATACAAGGGTGGTATTTGTCTGATGAGATCACCGTGTTTCCTTTTTTGACACAATCTTGGTGTGCTACAGGGATATATGGTGTCAAGTATTTCTGAATCATTCTCAAAGCGTGTGAAACTTTAGCAGGTTCGTCTCCAATGAAAGCATTAGAGTCAGAATTTGACTCTACAGCAAGCTTTGACTGTCTGAATTTAACTGTCCACAGCAAGCTGAAGTTGCACAGACCCCCCCTCTCTTTCTCTTTCTCTTTCTCTTTCTCTTTCTCTTTCCCTTCCTTTCCCTCTCCCTCTCTTGATATAAGCTGCCGTGTTTTGTTGAAACTAGAAATTCAGGATGTCATTTCTGAAATAATTTGTTCTCCAATCTTAAAATAGAAGGTGAGCATCACTTAAGCCACTCCTTTAGTTCACCAAGTATCTCTGACCTCCCCTTTCAGACCAGTTATGAAAATGATGTGTCAGATATTTCAACCTTTGTCTGCCTGTGTGTGCCTATGATTATATTTTCTTCAAGATTTTAATCCTACAAAAAGTATAGGGAAAAAACCCCATAGCCAACATTGCAATTCCTCCCCCTCTGATATTATGTCCTACCATGTCCCTTGTAGTCCTGGGAGATTTCCCCAAAAAATACTAAATGCCCCTTTATTCAATATGATTGCAGAAATGCTTGTAGGAAGCTCCTGCAACACTTAGTGGCAGATTTTGTGTCTCCTGCTGAAAACTGTAGAACTTCCCCAGGACTTGAGATGTCTATGAACATTACAGCATAAATCCAGTGGTTCAGTTTTACATTTTCAAAGCTTGGGCAGAGTTTCTGTCATTCTCTTTCAGGAACTCATCAAACATGGCAGCGTCCTTTTCCAAGTCTTCCTCAGCTTTTTCCAGCTTTGCTTCTTCTTCCACTGCCAGATTTTCCAGTTTCTGAATTTCATCTTTTTTCACAGTTACAGCGTACTGAAATGTAAGCCAAAAGTCATTGAGAAAAGGAGGCTCAATAATGTCTCTGCAGTTAATGGACAATTTTATCACCTCCATAGGTTAGAAACTGGCTGTTCCATCACTAAAGGAGTTCTGCTTCTATGTGAAACAGCTCTTCATCTCTTCTACCTGACTTTGCTATTACCTCCCAAACTGTCCAATGATTTCTATCTTTCTCTTTTAACAGATACACTGTTAAGACAGATAACAGATAACGGCCACTTACGAGAGATAGGTGGTGCAGAATTTCCTAAATAGACATGGTAACATATATCTGTATCTGTGTTTATCTATACAGATATGCAATTTGTGCACACAAACACGCCTATTCCTAGACATGGGAAAATATGCTATGGCTATAAATGGGATATGGCTATGTATTTCCTCACAGAACTTACTCTATGTAAGCAGATAAGCCCATTGCATAAGCCAGTGTTGGCAAACCTTTTCGGCACCAAGTGCCGAAACAGGAATGTGCGCATGCGCGTAGGGGAGTGCCAGAAATGGGAAGAGCAGTTCCCTGGCACGCATGCACATGCCAGGAAGCTCAGCTTCTGGTTTCCGGTGTGCGCATGCACATCAGGGAGCTGCTCTTCCAGTTTCCAGCGCTCCCATGTGTGCAAAGACCAGCTGGTAACAGGAAACCCGGAAGAGTAATGGACGACGGCAGGCATGCCTGGAGATATGGCTCTGTGTGCCACTTCTGGCATGCATGCCATAGGTTCGCCATCACGGGCATAAGCCATCTAGCATCTTCCACCAGGCAATTTACTGAAATGATTCCTCATGTTAAAAGCTACCATCGAGTTGCATTGAAACAACTTCATTTAATGCTGCATTTGTAATCAGCCCTCCCCTTTTCAAAGCATTCAGAATCAGAGTGGTGCTGGTTTTCCTCCCATGTTATCCTCGCAACAATATGATTGGAAAGAGTAGTCTCCCCCAAGGCCCTCCAGTGAATTTGACAGCGGGGGAAAAAAAAAAAAAGACTTGACTCCCAACTGTCCCCAATACAGATCTCAAGCTCCTCTTTACTATCTCAAATTGACATGTAGGCAACACCACTAGAACAAAATGAAATACCTGCAGCAAGAACATCTGCCGTTTCTGATTGATGTAATCATGCATCGTCTCTCTCTCTACAACCTGGTCTGGGGGGGAAAGAAAGAAAAGAAAGAAGGAAGGAAGGGGAAAAAAAGGGGCAGCAGTGCAAGCCGCTCACAGTGAAGTGAGCGGACAATGCTTTTAGCAGAGCTTCCAAAATCTCTTTCCGTTGACTGAGTTGATTGAGAGACACTTGCAGCCAACAATTTTACCACCTCTATAGTTTAGAAACTGGCCCGTTCCATTACTGAAAGTGTTCTGCTTCTATGTCAAACTGTTCTTCATCTCTTCTATTCATCTTTGCTCTATTTATTTCATTTAATCTTATTTTCTGGGCGTTTGTAAATAACAGTTGGATCTTTTTATCAGGGACGTTTTAGATGTGCAGCTGACTAGTGTGTATTACAGCAGGAGATACCATTTCTGGAGACAGCAGGCTTTTGTAGAATTTGGTGCCCATAAAAAACTCTTTCATATGCTATCCCAAAGGTACTTTTTTCAAGAGGCGACTGAACTTGCCTCTTGAAAAAAAGCACCTTTGGGACAACCATGACCTGGATGACTGAGAATCTCCATAGACATCTTTCATATGCTATGACCCTATGGCATACGATAAGAGCCCATCAGAAACTTCCAAACTCTGGTGAATCTCATTTATATTACAGAGTGTTTTAGAAACATTTTGAAGAGACTTAAGAAAATTTTATTCATCTTATATTCCAACTTATGGTCAAGATATAAAGCGAATGTTAAGCTGATCCTATAAAAATAAGAGTCCATACTTTCCCCTTTATGGTAAGATCTTTCCTGAAATTATTTGCATAGATTTTTCCTTTATTAACTTGTTTAAAAAAAAAATCCCAACCAACAAATGAAAGATTATAGAAAGATTGATAAGCAGAGCAGTGGCGGGTTTCAAATTTTTTTACTACCGGTTCTGTGGGTGTGGCTTCGTGGCCGTGGCATGGCTTGGTGGGCTTGGCAGGGGAAGGATACTGTAAAATCTCCATTCCCTCCACAATCCAGGGGAAGGATACTGCAAAATCCCCATTTCCTCCCGATCAGCTGGGACTTGGGAGGCAGAGAATAGATGGGGGCAGGGCCAGTCAGAATTTTTACTACCAGTTCTCCAAACTACTCAAAATTTCCGTTACCAGTTCTCCAGAACTGGTCAGAACCTGCTGAAACCCCTCCTCTGAAGCAGAGGCCTGCTGCTTTGGCTATTTCCCTATTCAAAATAATCCTCCCTTCCCAACTGTTTTTCTCTTAAAAGCTTGGAACAAATAACTCCAAATGTGTTTTACTTTTGAGTGATAATGCTAACCAGAGACAGGAAAAGACTAGCAAACCTAAAGCAAGTTTGCACCCTCACTTAGATCAGATTTTTGGGAAACCATGTCTAAAATTATTTCAGTCTGAATGTGAAAAAAAAATAAGAATCTTAAACTGGAAGTTTATACAGTGTTATGTTCTGATACCAAGTAATTATCCCGCTACATTGCAGCCTAGGATCTGAATGCTTTCCTTAGCTACCTTTAGTAATTGCTATCTTCCAGGAGATGCTTTCTCGGAGAGCTTTGAGTCGTTCGGCTTCTGCTAATAACTCCTTGTCCTCAGCTTCTTCTTCCATTTGGATTGCTCTCTTGAATCCCGTCTGTTTGGAACTCTGCAGAGTGGAGCACGTCATCTTCTCGTGGACTTTCAAAGTCTTCCGTCGCTCTCGCTCCTAAAGGAAGGAGTTGATTAAATGCTGCCTTGGTTATCGGAGGCCTCACAAGATGGCTACCCCAGCAAAAGTATATCTCCAGCATCAAGGGCCATATAAGAAAATGCAGTTTCTCAGGAGGTCAACATGGGATTGTATTTTGTAACATTGGAACTAATTATTCACTCTGTGAGATCAGTTATACTGTATACGAAATATACAGAATATAGAATAACAGAGTTGGAAGGGACCTTGGAAGGCTTCTGGTCCAACCTCCTACTCAAACAGGAGACCCTATACCACATCACACACCTGGGACTCTATAAAAATGGGGCAGAGGATCCTCCTCTCAGAACTTACTATGAAATTCGCTTTGATGCTGCTATTCCACATTTGTTTAATCTAGTGCAGAACAAGACTACACAAAGAAAACAAAGATCAGGCTTCCTTAACCAGCTGCCCTCCAGTTGGATTGAATTCCAGTTACTGTAATCTCCAGCTAAGCATAGCCAATCATTTTCACTGGATGGTGCTGGATTCTAATCTTACGAGAAAGAAGATTCTCTTAATCTGTGCTGTCTGAACACTCAATCCTCTCTTCTCATTTGTAATCTTTTTTTTAAAAGAAAAGCTCTCCCCACTTCAGTTTAGGTTGCACTTTTGACACTTTTACAGAACCACCAGTGTATCTTATTATTTAATACACAGAGTTTTTCTAAAAGTCTCTCAGAATCTCCTTAACCCCTGCAAAATAATATTGCATGAATAATAACATTATTTCTGCTATGAAATCTCTTAATTCAATGAGACAGTACACCCGTTGAGTGGGAAGAGGGCACATCACACTCTCAGCATTCTGATTGGCCATGGCTGGGAAGAATTTCTTTTGGAAACATCTTGTATTTTCTACATACCATCCTGGCCTTTTCTTTCTGTTTATCTCGCAGCAAAAAAATATCAATATCTGCAGGGATTTTGAATGGATTTTGTTCCAACAGAAAGTCTGTGTTTCGAGGAGCGGCTGCAAAACAAACAAACAAGCAAAAAGAATATTAGGAAAGCAATAGCCGAGAAGCATTTTGTCTTCCAAATATAACAAGGAAATTAATAAGAATAACCAAAATGTGTTCAACTAGGCAAAGAAGAATGAAAGAATGTTGGTGAACTTCATCACAAATGAATTATCATTTGAACATATATAATTGACTGGCCAGCTTTCCATGGCCAACTCACTGCAGGACAACTCATCGCAGGACAATTCAACAAATACAAAAGTTAAATTCATTTCAACAGAACTGTGGCCAATAATAATAAAATAAAGGCAATCCAGAAATACAAGAGTTATAGTCATTTCAATGAAATGTGGTCACCAATAATAAAAGTAACATTGAAATTTTTAATAAGGCATTGAATTGTCCTGCAGCGAGTTAGCCATGGCAAGTTGGCCGTGGCAATTTGGCCAGGACAAATTGGCTGTGGCAAGTTATCCTATTTCATGTTAAAAGACTTTTTGGAAACCTTGCAATATATCATACTAGAAAAGCGATTTGGACACAGTAGTGCTATGTTCACATTTTAATGGAATCTCAAGCATTTAGTCCAAATGATTTCCAAATTAGGAATAGCTCTATACTTAGCTTTATTTAAAATCAAGACAATTTATTATTTCCCACATGATAAACATTGGTTTTGAAAACAACTTTCTTTTTATCTTCTCTTCTTTTCTTTATTCTCTGTGACTTCAAGACGGTCTGAAAAGAATTTCAAAAGTGTGGGGAAGATTGCACAGGGAAGGTTTTTCTGTTCATGAAAACATACAATTGGATTTCAGACCCAAGAGAAAATCAAAGTACATTGGCTCTACATGATTTGGAAGATTCTCTGATCCTGAAAGATCCTATTGTCAAGGAAGTTTAGAAACAATAATGCAAGAATGGTAACTGATCTGCTCAAAGTTGCTAAAATGGCAATGGCTTCCTCTGTTGTGTGGAAATTCTAAAAATCGATCTATTGTGTTAAAATTGCTCAATGATCTGATGATTGCTTGCATAATGGAATTTGGGAGCTGATAGTAAGCAATTAAAATGAGAGACTTACATGACTTGGTGTTTGGTCTAGAGCTGGACTTAGAGGAGGGTATTGTAAACACATCTCCAGTTTGCTGAGTTGTCAGCCGTGTCCCTGATCCAATAAACAACAAACTTCACTTAGTTATCCAGAAATAAGTTATATTATAGGGAAAGTTGCTAGGACGTAAGTGTCAGCATCATAGGACTTACCATACTTCAGTGTTTGAAGATTGAAGACCAATTTGTATGTGGCACTTTGTATATATCATTGGGAACAGAGTTACATTAATCTTTCTCTCTGTCTCTCTCTGTCTCTCTCTGTCTCTCTCTCTGTCTCTCTCTCTCTGTCTCTGTCTCTGTCTCTCTCTGTCTCTGTCTCTGTCTCTGTCTCTCTCTCTCTCTCTCTCTCTCTCTCTCTCTCTCTCTCTCTCTCTCTCTCTCTCTCTCTCACACACACACACACACACACACACACACACACATGAACATGATGTCAAACCTGGAAGCCATCTTTTACATTTGGGCCTTCAGGCCTGCCATATTTTCTACTGTGGGAAAATGGGAGTGGGGATTGCATAGGATATGGGTGAAATGTAGTCAAAATAATATTCCTTTCTCAGAGACGCCTTGCCCTGGCACCGGGAGTCGGATGACTGGAAGGTATCTCCAATTTGGACGGTGGATGATTGGACCATGTGATGGACATGTGGGTGCTGGGCAGGGACTTGAACTTTCACTTGGGTGGGAAAAACCTGGAAACTTTCAGATTCGGGTTTTCCCAGATGTGCCAATATGACATCTCTAATAAAATGGAACTTTGAGGAAACTCAAGCCTTGGAGTATCTTTCATTGGGGGTGACACATACAGTAAATTCTCAATAAACAACCTGGTGCCTCTGAGTATCACCATATCAACAGATACTTTTTTAATGACCTGCAAGAAGTATTCACTTCAACCTAGGAGACGTTTATACTCCAGGTATTAAATTCTAAAGAAACCAAGCATCAATGAAGTTGGCTGTTTCAAAAGGAACAATCTACAGTACATATACAATAAGGATAGATCTATATTCTGCTTCAGGAGCTGCCCACACCCTAACATGAATTTTAAAACGATGAAGAGAAGGAAGCATTGAATTCTAGCAAATAAAACAAAGGAATCTTACTGTAAATTTCTTCAGAGTCCACTGAGCCAGTAGATGCAGTTGAAGGGGCAAATGACACTCCAGACATCCTGAGACTCTTCTAGCTTAACAAGAAGGCTGACAAATTCCCACTTGGTGAACAGATGTCCTGAGATGCAACACTGAATCTTGGCCTATGAAGAGATGTGTATAAGGAATCCTTTGTTAAATGTGATTTTATTCATTGGTCAGCTAAACCTTAACAACATAGAAACTAATTTACAACTGCTAACATTTGCAGCAGAAATTGAAATGATAATGAAAAAGATTTTGAAAAACCCTCCTAATAACTAAAATTGAGACTGGGGCAAACAGTTGTAAATGATAGTGGGCTTTGATTCACTGGACATCCATTTTATTCTTGAGAAAGGGGCTAGGTTGAATGATTTGTAATTCCCCTTCCAACATTAACATTCTACAATTTATTTATTTATTTATTTTTCAATTTATATACCGCCCTTCTCCCTGAGGACTCAGGGCGGTGCACAGCCAGAATTAAAAACATGAAATACAAATATTAAAAACAATTAAAATCTATATAAATTTGCCCCAAAATTTAAAAAACCACAAACCAATTAAACATTTAAAAATTTTAAAAAAATTTCTTCCTAAGCCAGCCCGGCTTGCTGGAAAAAGTGGGTTTTAAGGGCACGGCGGAAGGCACTGAGGTCTTGGATTCTCCTTATCTCTGGGGGCAGCTGATTCCATAGGGTAGGTGCCCCCACAGAGAAGGCTCTCCCCCTGGGGGTCACCAGCCTACATTGTTTGGCTGATGGCACCCTGAGGAGGCCCTCTCTGTGGGAGCGCACGGGTCGCTGGGAGGTCGTCGGTAGCAGCAGGCGGTCTCGAAGATAGCTAGGCCCTATGCCATGGAGCGCTTTAAAGGTGATAACCAACACCTTGAAGCGCACCCGGAAGACCACCGGGAGCCAGTGCAGCTCGCGCAGGAGCGGTGTTACATGGGAGCGCCATGCTGCTCCCATCACTACCCGCGCTGCTGCGTTCTGGACCAGCTGGAGCCTCCGGGTGCCCCTCAAGGGGAGCCCCATGTAGAGAGCATTGCAGTAGTCAAGGCGAGAGGTGACGAGGGCGTGAGTGACTGTGCACAGGGAATCCCGATCAAGAAAGGGCCGCAACTGGCGAATCAGGCAAACCTGATAAAAGGTCCCCCTGGTTACAGCCGTCAGATGTTCCTCCAAGGACAGCTGCATATCCAGGAGGACTCCCAGATTGCGAGCCCTTTCTGTGGGGGCCAAGGACTCGCCCCCAATAGTCAGTGATGGAGTCAACTGACTATATCGGGATGCCGGGAGCCACAGCCACTCAGTCTTGGAAGGGTTGAGCCTGAGCCTGTTCCTCCCCATCCAGATCCACACAGCCTCCAGGCACTGAGACATCACTTCGAGGGCATCGTTGGGGTGGCCTGGGGTGGAGATGTACAGCTGGGTGTCATCAGTGTACTGATGGTATCTCACCCCGAAGCCACGGATGATCTCGCCCAGCGGCTTCACATAAATGTTGAACAGAAGGGGTGAGAGGACCGATCCCTGCGGCACTCCACAGACGATAGGCCTCGAGGTCGACCTCTGCCCCCCTGCCAACACAAACTGCGACCAGTTGGAGAGAAAGGAGGAGAACCACCGCAATACAGTGCCTCCCACCCCCAACTCTTCCAGCCGGTGCAGCATGATACCATGGTCGATGGTATCAAAAACCGCTGAGAGGTCTAACAGGACCAGAACAGAGGAGCAACCCCTTTCCCGAGCCCTCCAGAGATCATCAACCAATGCGACCAATGCCGTTTCCGTGCTGTGCCCAGACCTGAAACCCGACTGGAACGGATCTAGATAAGATGTTTCCTCCAGGAATTGTGGAAACTGTCGTGCGACCACACTCTCAACAACCTTCGCCATGAAGCGAAGGTTGGAGACAGGACGATAGTTGGCCAATATTGCCGGATCCAGGGACGGCTTCTTGAGGAGAGGCCTCACTACCGCCTCTTTCAAGGCAGCAGGGAAGTAACCCTCACTCAACGAAGCGTTGATAACACCCTGGAGCCAGCCTCGTGTAACCTCCCGGGAAGCCAGTACCAACCAGGAGGGACACGGGTCCAGTAAACATGTGACCGTACTAAGTCTCCCCAAAATCCTGTCCACATCATCGGGAGTCACAGCATCAAACTCCTCCCAGATAACATTCTCAAGACTATTCCTCGTCACCCTGCCCTGATCTACCCAGTCAGAGTCCAAATCCCCCCGGATCTGAGTGATTTTGTCATACAGGTATTGTCCGAAATCCTCCGCCCTGCCTTCCAGGGGATCCTCTCGCACTCCCGGATGAAGCAGGGAGCGGGTCACCCTAAACAGGGTGGCCGGACGATTCCCTGATGATGCAATAGAGGCAGAAAAGTAATTAAACTTTGCTGTCTTTATCACCACTAGGTAGGTCTTAATATGCGACCTTACCTGTGTTCGATCAGATTCAGCGAGACTGGCCCTCCAACCGCTCTCCAGGCGTCTTTTCCGGCGCTTCATTTCCCTCAGCTCCTCAGTAAACCAAGGAGCTGCGCGGGATCGGCACCGGGTCAGAGGCTGCAAAGGCACGACTCGGTCCAAGGCCCCACCAGCCGCCCGATCCCAGGCGGCTACCAGGTCCTCAGCCGAGTCATGTGCTAGATCCTCAGGAAATGGCCCAAGCTCCATCTGGAACCTATCAGGATCCATCAGGCGCCTGGGGCGGACCCATCTTATTGGCTCCGCCTCCCTGCGGCGGGGTGTAGCGGTTCAAAGGTCCAGGCGAAGGAGCGAGTGATCTGACCATGACAAGGGTTCCATGTCTATATCCCCTATAATAAGATCACTCAACCACTGGCCAGAGACAAAAATCAAGTCCAGAGTGTGTCCCCCCCCTGTGGGTGGGGCCATGAACTAGTTGGGTCAGGTCCATGGCCGTCATGGAAGCCATGAACTCCCGAGCCGTCTCATACGTTTCACCAATGGACGGCAAGTTGAAATCACCCATGACCATAAGCCTGGGTGTATCAACTTCCACCATGGCTATCACGTTGAGGAGCTCGGGCAGGGCCATTGCCGCGTGGCAGGGAGCCAGGTATGCAAGCAACAAGCCCATCTGAACCCCATGACCCCATCTCACAAAGAGGGATTCACATCCGGCAATCTGTGGCACAGTGGTCTCCCTCGGACTAAGACCTTCGTTAATAATAACCGCCATCCCCCGCCCCTCCCCTGGGCCCTCGGCTGATGGAATGCTCTGAAGCCTGGTGGGCACATCTCAACCAGAGGGACCCCTCCCTCCGGGCCCAACCAGGTCTCCGTAATACCCGCCAGGTCCGCTCCCCCCTCCTGTATAAGATCGTGAATGAGGGGGGCTTTATTTACCACGGACCTGGCATTGCACAGCATCAGCCGAAGGCCCAGGTCCTGAGTATCTGAGCCACCTAGTATCCGAGGGGAGCCTTGGAGACCGGGGCGCGCAATAGCTCTCAAACAGCGAGTGCGCACCCCTGACACGTGATATGGTCTCCTGCTCCCGCCATATCTGCCCCTCCCATCCACCGTGCTGATGGTACACCCCTCATTGGTATAGCCCTCCATCCCCTCCCCAATCCCTCGTCCTGCACCCTCCAAACCGTTGCCCCGTGCCAGGCTCGGCTCTGACCTTAGTGGATTTCCCCCCACCATCCCCTTTGGTCGTCCTCCCATGTAGAAGAAAGGAATTTTGTGCAGATTCAGTTTTTTTCACCATAGAAAAACCTGAATTGCTCCCAATCTTTGTATCATTATTGCCATATCCTATTAAATCCAAAGAATCTTTTTCACAGAAAGGATGGCATGTTCCCTCCCTCCTTTTTAAGCACAACAAAACAAAAAAGGGAAACATGCACATAAAATAGGCATGGGGTCAAATAAAATGGTGTTAACCCAAACAAAAGATCTGTAGAAATCATCATCACCACCATAATTTTAAATGACTTGCTTGCTTTTTGAAAGGGATTTGGAAATCTGCAGCTGGAAATTGTTTCCCAATTGTTAACACCCATTCAGCCATAGAGGGAAGGATCACTATAATGTTAATGGCTACCAATTCTATGAGGTGTTTTTTCAGTGATACATCAGTGGTTCACGTTGAAGCAGTTATTTTCAAGAAAATGATCTCACTTCATGCACACTCATTTCAGTAGCTTCTAACAAATTAACTCGATGTACTGTAAAGTACATCAGTAGATGATGGGGTGTGATGGCTTAGTGCTTAAAGACACTGAGTTTGTCAGCTGGAAAGCTGACAGACAAGTTTTGAGACCTGAGTCCAGGTTCGAGACCTCTACCATGCAATGGGTAGAGTTCCCATTCCTGCCCCAGCTTCTGCCCACCTTGCATTCAAAAGCATACAAACGTGAATAGATAAATAGGTACCACTTCAGTGGGGAGGTAATAGCATTCCATGCACCTTTGGCATATAGCCATGTTGGCCACATGACCATGGAAAACATTTTTGGACAATGCTGGCTCCCTCAGCCAAGAAATGACGATGAGCACTGTACCCTAAAGTTGGACAGAATCAGACAGAGTAACCTTTACCTTTTTCCTGTAGAGATAGTAGTCCTTGATCAACCTTACCTCAGCCTAGAAGTTAAGCAGGGCTTGTCAGATACTTGGAGAAGAAACCACCAGGAAAATCTAAGGTTGTAGGCTAGACTGGGAGTTGAGAAAAAAGATCCTGCAAGAAAAAGATGGCAAAAAATTCCATGCTGATGCCTAGAAAACTGCATGGCTATGTCTGTGAAGTCACCAATAGTCAAGCTTGATTCAAAGGCTTGACTTTGGTATCAGAATATTTAGAAAACACCTCTCTGCTTGGTGAAATGGTTTTTGAAGCCCTGAAGCCTCAGTATTGTATTCACTCATTTTAGGAGTAGCAGGTCTCCTCTCTCAGAATTATCTAAACTACTGGCAGTCCTTGTCTTACACCCATTCATTGAGCAACCGTTCAAGTTACAACTGCATTGAAAAAAGGAACTTAATGACCGGTCCTTGCACTAATCACTATTGCAGCATTCCTGTGGTCATGTGATCAAAATTTGGGCACTTGGCAACAAGCGTGCATTTCTTTTTGAGCCCTGGTGGCGCAGTGGTTTAAAGTGCAGTGTTGCTGGCCAACAGCCTGGAGTTCAATCCTGACGGAGCTCAAGGTTGACCCAGCCTTCCCTCCTTCCGAGATCGGTAAAATGAGGACCCAGATTGTTGGGGACAATATGCAAATAGTGCTTATATCATAAACCACCAAAGAGTGCTATAAAACGCTATGGGGCAGTATATACAGGAAGCCTAAATGCTATTGCTATGGCTACTCTGGTTGCAGTGTCCTGGGATAACATGATCACCATTTGCAACCTTCTCAAGGGGCTTCCAACAAGTAAAGTCAATGGGACAAACCAGCCACCTGATTCTCTTTAACAACAGCAAGGATTCACTTAACAATCATGCCCCCAAAATAAGAATAATCATAAAATCATTTAACAACTTAGCAATGGAAATTCTGGCCCCCTGTTGTGTCAAGAACTAATTGCATTTTACCAAGAGAGTGAAAAGGCTCAAAGCATCTCATCGTGACAGGTAAGGAAGCAAGTTGGCAGCTGCCTTTGAAGGGGAATGGGCCAAGCAAACCACTCTAACAATTCCATTGCCAATTCCATTTGAAGCTGAAGCCTAAAAAACTTTTTTTTTGACTTGAAGCCTGCCATCACTGTAAAAGCTGGAGCAGGATTACTGTTTAAGAGCCTGTTTAATATTATCCTGCTGATGTTTGGAAACAGCCTCAGGTTACCATCTTCTTTCTCTTCCCCAGAAAACGTTGCATACATAAAAACCAAAGTACAAAAAAAAAAAAAAAAAAAGAGTGCTTGAACAGGTACATTGCATTTGAAAGCACAACTATATAAATCAATTGGGGAGGGAGGAGAGAGAGAGAGGGAGAGAGAGGAGAACGTAGTAAAAAAAAATTAGTTTTAAAACCTCCTGATAGAAATAGAAGATGAATTACCACAGACGGTAACTATGTTTGTAAGCTCACTCCAGAGACATAGATGCTTAATTTCAATATTGAGATTTTTTTTTTCCCCTGTAGATTTTTCCTGCTTTTCGACGACCCAGGCGTAGCCTTTTCATTAACACTGGAAGTTCAAGAAAACATATCACGCTCAGCTTGAATTCTCTCCCGATTGGAATTTTTTTTTAAAAAAAAGGTATGACTCTCTATAGAAGGAAAAAGCACAATTCAGTTATTTTCCGGTCCCGCGTTGCTCTTTTAATTGCTTCTGCTCGGCGAACATCCGTCCCGGAGGTTTTGCCAGTCGATTTGGCCAATTTAACTCAAGAGCCGCAAGCGCTTTCGGACAAGAGGCAGGTTCCAGCGTCCTCGGCATTCCGCCTCTTTCATTGTTCTCCGTTCTTGTTTACGTTGCCGAGGAAACCATTTTCTCCTGTTGCCAGGCGGTGCTGACGTCACAATGAAAAGAAGCGCTAGGTCGGGGATGCGACGGGGACGTAGAGAGTGCAGCGAGCTGGAATCGAGCGCCTCACGTCCAAATCAAAATCAGAATCAGAAGAGAGCTGGAAGGGACCTTCGAGGTCTTTTAGTCCAACCCCCGCCTCCTTCCCCTGCTCAAGCAGGAGATCCTATACCGTTTCAGACAAGTGACTGCCAGTCTCTTCTTCAAAAAGCTCCACTGATGAAGCACTCACAAGTTCTAACCATCTGGAATGAAGCACCCACAAGTTCTAACAATCTGGAAACTAAATAGGGAAACTAAATAAAACAAGGTAGTAAGGGAAGAATTTGTGATCAGTCAGGGGAGAATATCCTAAAAAGCAAGACAATTATATTCTTAATTCATAAAACATTAATTGCTGCAGGAGATAGAGATGGTCAGTAGATATACAGATTACAGATTAACAGAGTTGGAAGGGACCTTGTAGGTCATCTAGTCCAACCCCCCCCCAAGCAGACCCTACATCATTTTTGACAGATGGCAGTCCAGTCTCTTCTTGAAAGCTTCCAGTGATGAAGCTCCCACAACTTCCGAAGGCAACTTCTGTTCCATTGGTTGATTGTTCTCAGAAAAGTTCTTCTTATTTCCAGGTTGAATCTCTCCTTGTTCAGTTTCCATCCATTATTCCTTGTCTGGCCTTCAGGTGCTTTGGAGAATAGCTTGATCCCCTCCTCTCTGTGGCAGCCCCTCAAATATTGGAACACTGCTATCGTGTCTCCCCTGGTCCTTCTCTTCACTAGACTAGCCATGCCCAGTTCCTGCAACCGTTCATTGTATGTTTTAGCCACCAGTCCCCTAATCATCCTGGTTGCTCTTCTAGTCCAACATCTAGAGTCTCAACATCTAGTCCAAAAACAGTTTGGATACTGTTGTTTTGTGGGAAATAATTTGATATTTTGTATAACAGATGTCAACGTCCGGAGACAGTGAAGGGGGCTCAATTTGAGGCACAAGACAGGCTGCCATCCAGCAAAACCCATCCAAATTAGTCAGGCCTTCCTGACCACATTTTGAAGTAAATGAAGTACTGCATTTCAGGTCTAAAGAGTTCCCATTGCAACAATACTAATACCATAAGGTGGAACACCTAAAACAGTTAAGTTCAGAATCTAAAATTACTTTGCTTGCCATTATGTCCCTAACAGTTCTTTAATCTGCAGCCATCAGCAGTGTTGGAATAGCACTGAGCACCATCTCATAAAAAGCATGTGTTTGTGATACAGGCAGTCCTCGACTTACGATCACAATTGAGCCCTAAATTTCTGTTGTTAAGTGTGACATGTGTTAAGTGAGTTTTGCCCCATTTTACAACCTTGCTTGCCACAGCTGTTAAGTGAATCACTGCAGTTTATAAATCAGTAACCTAGTTGTTAAGTGAATCTGGCTTCCCCATTGACTTTGCTTGTCGGAAGGTTGCAAAAAGTGATCACATGACCTTGGGACACTGCAATGGTCATAAATATGAACCAGTTGCCAATTTTGGTTTTGGGGATGCAGCAAAGGTAGCAACTGTGAAAAATGGTCATAAACCACATTTTTTCAGTGCCGTTGTAACTTTGAACGGTCACTAAACAAAGAGTTGTAAATCGAGGACTACCTTTTCTTTATTAGATGATTTATTTCAACATTGAGATTAGGCATTATTTATAATGCTTGATTATGCTTATTCTCTTACACACACGTTTATTTATGTATCCAAAAACACTCTTTCCCCTTAGTGCCAATCATTCCAATGTTGGAGTCAGTAAGAAGCACTTAATGAAGCAAAGCAAGAAAGAATGAAAGTATCAGAGGAAAAAAAATAAACAGTAACATGCCAAACATCTGTTTGGCTGGAGAAAACCCCACAGTGTTCATCAAGAAGAGATAAATAAATTCTTCCAAGTGTATGTTTTTTGTCATAAATTAGAATTTCCAGAGCAGAAGTTCAAATTATATATATATGTAGGAGACACAGATACATGATATAAGCGTCACTTTTCCCATCCAGAATTTAAGGGGAAAAAAGTCTGCTTTTTGCTACGTAGTTAAATGAAATTCATTTGACAGATGCGAATAAGTTTACCAGCCCCATATAAGAAACCTAATTACAGGCAATATGCACTTATAAGGAACGACAACAAAATACCAGAAAAGTTAACTGCAAACAAACATAATTGCTGAGTAGGGAATTCTGGGAGATGAATTCTACACATCTTAAAGTTGCCAATGAGAAACACTGCTCTAATAACAGAGTGAGAAAAACATTAGCATATTGTTTCCATACTTTTGATGTATTATGCAGAGCGGGGGAAATGAATGTGAAGAGCTATAGAAGTAGATAACTGAAGGAAATACTGAAGGATAACTACTAGGGAGAAAGGTGTGAAAGTGAGCAGGTAACTCTTAGAGTTGCCAGGCCTCTTGATTTCCCTATATCAGGCAGGCGATTGGCTTAGATCATATGCAGTGTGCCCGCAGCTGTTCCTTCCACTTGATAATGACTTGGTTAGTTGCTATATTAGATGAATTTTTGATATTGTTTCATCTTACATGACAAGGAGCCGCGGTGGTGCAGTGGTTAGAGGGCAGTACTGCAGGCTACATCTGCTGACTGCTGGCTGCCTGCAATTTGGCAGATCGAATGTCACCCGGCTCAAGGTTGACTCAGCCTTCCATCCTTCCAAGGTGGGTAAAATGAGGACCTAGATTGTTGGGGGCAATATGCTGACTCTGTAAACCACTTAGAGAGGGTTGTAAAAGCACTGTGAAGTGGTATATAAATCTATTAAATATTGTTTTGATTAGACCATCCCCATACTTTGCTAACAAAAGATTTATTTAAATTAGGCAGTCAATGGCTGTCTAGGTAAGATTGCAGAGCCCCTTGTCTTGCTTAATTCTTAGAGCTGTTAGGTTAATTTCCCACAGTATAGTTAAACAACGTTCATTTGACAGAAGCTAATAAGTTCATTAGCTCACATGACAGACCTTAATTACAGGCTATGGACAGGTACCTTTGGCAGGGCTGGTCACCAGAGTGGTGCCTGTTACGTCCCATTCTTTACAAGGATCCTTAATCTGAATATTCCTGCTCACAGGCCATGAAAAACCACAGATTTTCTGCCTTCCATTTGGGACTTTAAAAAAACAACAACTGAACAACCTGTTTACACAAACAGAAGTGAACCAACTTGATCATCCCTGTAAGTCTTGCCCTAGCCCTTAATCATTTTTGACCTATTTGATCTCTCGGTTTTGGGAGAAAGCAACATTTAACTTAATTATTCCAAACTGACATTTCTTCACAGGTCAGTCTAAATCAGGGCTGTCAAACTCCCGGCCCACGAGCTGGATGCGTCACACACTGGCCATGCCCATCCTCAGTTTAGCAAAGGGGAAAAAAGCCGCATCACGTGACGCTGTGAGTTTGACACCCCTGGTCTAAGTGATCAACAGCACAGCAATGTATCCCATGTATCCCAAAATCATACCTTATTTTGCATCTACAGCTGCAACCATTACACATAGTTGCCTTAATGCTATAGCTTCATACAGACATGGGTGCACATTCGCATGTATGTGGCTGATTGCAAAGATCATAGGAGATGTAAGATGGCAATTTGAAAAGGAAGTGTAGGTATATTTGACTGAATGGCCCTGCTTATGATTGTAATCTTAGACGTGGCACCAAATTCACTGATTTTAGCTTTGTTTTTATGCAAGTGAGTGCATGCCTCTCTTTAAAGTTAAATACGGAGATCTCATTATTCTTTAAAAAAATTTTTTTGCATCAATTTAACTTCATCATTAAGAAGAGCCATGGTGTTGCAGTGGCTAGAATGCAGTACTGTAGGCTACTTCTGCTGACCGCCGGCTACCTGCAATTTGGCAGTTCAGTAAAATGCTAATGGAACCTCCATAGCCAGACATGAAGGCGATAGCACTGTATTTTTCTCCATACTGATTGTGATTTTAGAGGAACCATTTAATATTTGATTCATAGCTATTGGAGATCTTATTTTCCACAAACAGGTCTATTTAATTTTTCAAGCCCTCAAATGTCATCTCAGTTAGATGAATACAGTCAATCTATGAGCCGAGGTGGCACAGTGGTTAGAATGCAGTACTGCAGGCTACTTGTGTTGCCTGCTGGCTGCCTGCAGTTCAGCAGTTTGATTCTCACCAGGCTCACTGTTGACTCAGCCTTCCCTCCTTCCGAGGTGGGTAAAATGAGGACTCAGATTGTTGGGGGGCAATATGCTGACTCTGTAAAACCACTTAGAGAGGGCTGTAAAAGCACTGTAAAGCGGTATATAAGTCTAAGTGCCATTGCCATTTATAAAAGGGCCCGTGGCAGTACAGTCAAAGAATGAACTGACTTTCAGGGGCTAAATCATATCTATATTATTGTTTAATTTTACCCCCAATTACATATTACGGTAGGAATAATGCAGTGTAAAGCAAGAAGCAAGAAAATGACCATTTCATAAAATCAGGAAAATCAGCTGTGATTATGAGAAATTCTATTGGGTCCAAGAAAGGCTCAGAAAATGTGTTACCATATCATTTTTGCCCTGACATCTGATCCTCTAGACTTGTTTTCATTCTGTATCCTTAAAATGTGAGCAGCAGTATGATGCAAGAAGGGCTTCCCATTGCAACTGTTTTGTTACGAAAACCTAATGGTTTCAGAGAAATTTTCCATCCTTAAGACATGCATTTCCCGCATCTGCCACACGGTGTCGTTCCACGTTGGGATTTATTTTCTTTCTAGGACCAAAACAGATAAAACATTTTTAACCCTTGTTTTTTTTTCCTTGTGTGCATGCATGCCACAGGATTTATGGCCAGGATTCTTAGATACCTTTTCAATTATGCATGTACAAATGAAAGTGAGAAGCTGTTTTACAGCCGATAATTTCCTCTACTTCCTGCTCTGTTGCTTTATAGAAGCCTCGCAAGTTTGCTTTCTCTT